GCTGCCCTCATGACTGGTAGAAGGTCCCGCTCCATTGATTTTGCTTTCCTACGCATTTTTTTAAATTCTGTGTTTGGAAGCTAGGCTCTAGGTGCTTGAAATCGGCTCGCGTTAGGAGGTAATTTAACGGGATCAGCGGTGACTATTCTTGAGTCGCAGTTCACATTTCCAAGGTCTGTCGATACAGTTTCAGCCGCAACGCTTGGTTACTGATGCTACAGCTCGATTTTAGTTACTACGACGAAAGGAGTCCGCCGAGCGGAGCACACTATGCACTATCGAGCATGGGATTGAACCGCTTTGTGGGTCAGGCGACCTAGGTTGACGCAAAAAATAGCAGATGCTCGTCTCTCTCTCACACGCTCGGGGCAAATCTAGCAGCACCCTACACTGACTTGCATATGGCAACAGTTACAGGACCGTCATCAGCACACCCTTTTCGTGAAGAGTATCTCGATTGAAAGCAAGGGCAAGCAACAGCAGCAGATAGGATCGAGACTGTTGCTGAATGACGACGTTCTAGCCTGAATCCTCGGCGCCTGGTGCTTGCGGTGATGGTGGTGGCCGTCCCAACATGGGTGAGTGGACGAAGCTAACAGTGATTGACAGTGCCGATGGGTTGGGATGGGAAGTTGAGAAGTTGAGAACTTGGAATGGACATCTCTCCCTCCCTGCAAACTCGCGAGAGTCGAGACTGCCGTTGTCCTAGAAATGTCAACTTTGGCAAAATGTCACTCCGACATCCCATCTCAAACCGAGGCGCGTGTTAAAATTACGAGGCGCATCTGGAGCGACTCGCCATCTTGTCGTTGGTCTGGGTCCTTGACTTGGTTAGATGTCGTCCAAGCTTGGTGGCTCGCTTCGGCTCTGCACTCACGGAACCTTGTGGTCCGGTTTTGGCGCGAGACGAAATGCAAGCTCGGTGAAGCTTGACGCGCGCTCAGTCTGGTTTGCGTGGGCTGTTTGTGGGGCACCCGTTGAGAAGGGAAGGAAAGCAAAAGCTGGCGTTGAAATACGAAACTGATTGGCCAGCTGTACCTGCTGGCTCGGCCAAACCTAGAACATAGAAGTCGCACATAACACAACGAGCTGGCCCAGCGATTCGTCAGGTGACTTGAGCGTTTTCGCCTGAAATGTGCTGACGAGTGTTACAAATTTGCTATATACACAACATCGTTATTGGATAGAAGGTCTTGTACAAAGAAAGGAGTTTACATCATTCTCGTTATCCTAGCACCAAAAGAGGGTTGCGGATATGTAGCGGAGCCTTCCATGTCGCATCCGTGGAATCCCCAAATTTGCTGTGCGCCAATTTGCCCCACCCCAAGGAGATTCGCTTGCAGTACAACACCGTGCATGCGACCACACCACACCCTAACGTCGCGCATGATTAGTCAGCAAATTCGCCCATCCAGTCAGATTCGGGCGACTATCACGGCGTGCTGCTGACATGGCTGGAGTTTATACACCATCCACGTGGACCAAAGTTGCCGCAGTTTCAGGTGAAGTCATTTTACCGGAAGACCCTCGTTGCTCAAATTCGCCGCCGCATCGTTTTCCGTGCACTTTTTTAGGTGCCTTCAATACTTGCTAGGGGGCAGCAGATCTGGTTAGATTCATTTGCGTAAAGAAGCACCTCGTTGTTTGTCCTAATGCGTGACGCTCTCTTCGAACTTTCCTCACCTCCCCTCGTTTTCCCCCACCCTCTCCGCTCTCCCACCTACCCCCATCTTCCCTTCCCGATCTCCCCGCAATATCCAGGCGCTGCGGCGGTGGGGCTGGGCGCGTACGGAGCGCACGCGTTTAAGCCGGAGAACCCCGTGTATAAAGAGGTGAGAGGTGACTTTTGAGACGCCTCTTAACTATGGAGGCGACTCCTTATCATGGAGGCGACTCCTAGTCATCGAGGCGACTCCTAATCATGGAGGCGACTCCTAATCATGGAGGCGTCCCCTAGTCATGGAGGCGCCTCACACGTCGGAGAACCCCTTGTATAAAGAGGTGAGGAGGTGAATGCGGCCGGAGTATTGGATACATGCTGATCCTTTTCGGCAGACGTGAATACGTGTTTAAAGAGGTAAGATGTGATTACCGATTTGTTTTCCTTTTTTGTGCTGCTCTCGCATGTGGGCTTCCTGTTCCCGTCATATTGCATCACTATTCTTACACGATTCATGCTTCAAATTGCGTTACCTGATTTTATCAGGTGTAGCGTACGGGTGATTTCTACCATCTCGTGCACTCTGCTGCTCACATGTGTGCTTCCTGTCCGCGTCATAAGGCTTCACTGCTTCCTTACAACAATGCATGCTTCAAACTGCGGTGTATTGCTTTTATCAGGTGTGGCGGACAGGCAACCTCTACCATCTCGTGCACTCTGCTGCTCTCCTAGCCTCGCCCTTAGTCAAGCGGCCTGACATCGTGAGTTTAGGGTTTCGACAAACTCTTCAATTCAAAGTAGTAGCTTTGTGGCAGCTTTTTGTCAAACTACCCATCCCCAAAAGCTCAGTGTCTCTTAAGTTTTCCTCCATATCCTCACTCACCTCCTCTCTCCTGACCTCTCCCCACTCCCCACTCCCCTTCTCCTTTCCCCTGTCCCCCCCACGCTCCTCACCTCCCTTCCCCTCTCTCCCATCCCTCCAGTATGGCAGCCTTCTTACCTTTGGGATAGTTGCTTTCTCAGGCAGGTGAGTGGGGACCAAGGGCATGATAAGCGATGCTGCTTTTGCGGGAGTGAAGGCATGATAAATGAGTGGAAGCCTGTGACCCAAGCCTGTGACCCAAGCCTGTGACCCAAGCCTGTGACCCAAGCCTGTGACCCAAGCCTGTGACCCAAGCCTGTGACCCAAGCCTGTGACCCAAGCCCGTGGCCCAAGCCTGTGGCGCAAGCCTGTGGCCCAAGCCTGTGGCCCAAGCCTGTGGCCCAAGCCTGTGGCCCAAGCCCAAACCTCAATGCATGAGCCTCTTGTCCCAAGCCTCGTGATCTTCTCCGCCCTCCCCCGTCCCTTCAAAGCTCATCCCAATTCACACCCCTCCCACACTACCCACATCCCCTTCCGCCCCCTTCTCATCTCCCTCCCGCCCCCGTTTCCCCCCTCCCTCCCCCCCTTAACCCACTCTTTTCCTCACTTGCTTCAGCTGTTACCTGTCAGCAGCGTATGAGGACAGAGCTCCGGGCGTTATGGCCCACTCTTGTTCAACTCCCACCTACTCCTTCCTCAACTCCCTTCACACCCCTTTCCTCCCCACGATTCCCCACTTCCTTTCCCCTCCTCACTTGCTTCAGCTGTTACCTGTCAGCAGCGTACGAGGACAGAGCTCTGGGCGTTATGATGCACTCTTGTTCTGACCCCCTCTTTCCCCCTCCACACCCGCCGCCCTGCCTGTCCCCTTCCTCTCATCACCTCTTACCTGTCAGCAGAGCACACGAGGACAGCGCTCCGGGCGTGATGTCCCACCATTGCTCATCTCCCTCCCACCTGCTTTTTCCTCTACTCCCTTCACACCCCTTTCCTCCCCACGATTCCCCACTTCCTTTCCCCTCCTCACTTGCTTCACCCCTTACCTGTCAGCAGCACACGAGGACAGCGCTCCGGGCGTTATGGCCCACACTTGCTCAGAAGCCCACCCACCAACCGCTTACTCGTCTCTCTGACCCCCTCTTCCCCCCCCCCACCTACCACCCTGCCTATCCCCTCCCCTCATCAGCTGTTACCTATCAGCAGCATATCAAAACAGAGACTTGGGTGTTGGGGCTCCCTTTGACTCAAAGCCCTCCCTTCCCCCCGCATCCTACACTCCCCATCCCCCAACTCACCTTTCCCCTCCCCCTTCATCATCAGCTGTTACCTATCAGCAGCATATGAGGAAAGAGCCTTGGGTGTTGGGGCTCCGTTTGGGGGATTTGCCTTCATTGGAGCTTGGCTTTCTGCTGCCTTCTGATTGGCTGACTCTGTGCATTTTAGTGTACATACTGGTAATCTTATCCATGTTCTTCCTGTAAACCATACACAAACCTATAGAAATACATTGCTATGGCATTTGCATGCACAGCATTTATGAAAATACAACAGAGTACTACAGTACAATACTATTTCCAGGCTTATAATAAGGGCTTTGAATCGGCTACTCCTCATGCCTCTAATGGGCTAGCTTTTTTTTTCCTGATGACAAAACAAAACACCAGAGAGGGTTGAGTAAGAGGGCTGACAGGGCCTCGGTCCCCAAAACCCATCTTATTGCTATTTTCGCTGCTGGTAAGATGCTCTTGCTGTCAGAGTGCCCCTTTGAGTCAACTCAAAAGGGCTGAGACTCAATCCCCAACACACATCTTCACGTTACTGGTATTTTCAATGCCGGTAAGATGCTCTTGCTGTTACACTGTGCCTTATGCCCTACCAGCGTGCACCCAGCGCCCTAGACCAACAAATCAGGCATTGGATTTATGCCCCACCCACGAAGTTAACCACTTGGCGACCTGCATGGGTTGGGGTGAGGTGCGGTGCGGTAGGGTGCGGTAAAAAGAGAAGGCGAGTGGGTAAGTAGGATGGCTGTTGGAGACGTTTGGATCAACTCAACAGTCACTTGTAGATCTGGATGGGTGGCGTGCGGTGCAAGGGTGAGCCATGTGAGTGGGGAAAAGTCGGTCGGGGGGAATGCATGAGGATACCTTTGACTTGGGCTGATACCCAAACCAAGTCAACTCAAGTGAGCTTGAGTCAATTCAACCTTAAATCTGGTCAACCCAAGTCAAAGCACTCACATCAGCCATAGCAGGTCTGTCCTTGGGGTTGCTGGCAAGACAGATCACAGCCAGCATCGCCACTGCCTGCTGCTGACCTTGATGCACTGCAACCCACAGCCCCTCTACGCCAAGTCAACTCAAGTCAACTCAGGTCAACCCAAGTCAACCCTAGTCAGCACGAGTCAAGGGACAGGCACTCACATCAGCCATAGCCAGTTTGTCCTAAGGTTGCTGGTGAGGCAGGTCACAGCCAGCATCGCCACTGCCTGCAGCTGACTCTTGAGAGTGAAACCACAGCTTCTCTACACCAAGTCAACCCAAGTCAATGGGAGTCAACTCAGGTCAACCCAAGTCAAGACAACACTCACATCAGCCATGGCGGGTCTGTCCTTGGGGTTGCTGGCAAGGCAGATCACAGCCAGCATCGCCACTGCCTGCAGCTGGCTCAGGTCGTACCGCCCCTCTAGACGGTAGTCTACTAGGCGATGAAACTCCCCTGATTTGGCCACTGGGATTGCCTGTTGGAAAGCAGGAGGAGGGACGGGGGAAGACAGGTTCAGACTAGTTACAGGCAATGCCTGCAGCTGACTTGCATCGTACCGCCCCTCTAGTCAATTGCCCACTAGCCGTTGAAACTCCCCCTGCCTTGGCCACTGGGATTGCCCTTGATGGAGAGAAGGAGCCCAAGACAAGAGTAAGAGAACAAACACTGCGACCACCCACTCACCCATGCATGTATCCACCCACTCACCCATGCATGTATCCACCCACTCACCCATGCATGTATCCACCCACTCACCCATGCATGTATCCACCCACTCACCCATGCATGTATCCACCCACTCACCCATGCATGTATCCACCCACTCACCCATGCATGTATCCACCCACTCACCCATGCATGTATCCACCCACTCACCCATGCATGTATCCACCCACTCACCCATGCATGTATCCACCCACTCACCCATGCATGTATCCACCCACTCACCCATGCATGTATCCACCCACTCACCCATGCATGTATCCACCCACTCACCCATGCATGTATCCACCCACTCACCCATGCATGTATCCACCCACTCACCCATGCATGTATCCACCCACTCACCCATGCATGTATCCACCCACTCACCCATGCATGTATCCACCCACTCACCCATGCATGTATCCACCCACTCACCCATGCATGTATCCACCCACTCACCCATGCATGTATCCACCCACCCACCCATGCATGCACCCACCCTCACCCATGCACGCACCCACCCTCACACATACCCACGCTCCCACTCGCCCATGCAAAGAGGTAAGCCGGTGTTCGGGACGGGTGGAAGGGGATGTGGCCTGTGATGAGCTGTAGCAACACCACTCCAACACTGAACCCATAAGTCACCCACACTCACCCACCCACCCACTTATCTGAATGATCGAACCCTCACCCTCACTCACCCACGCAAAGAGGTAGGCGGGTGTTCTGCTTGGGTGGAAGGGGATGTGGCCTGTGATGAGCTGTAGCAACACCACTCCAACACTAAACCCACACCCACACCCACCCACCCACCCACCCACCCACCCACCGATCTGAATAACTGAGCCCTCACCCTCACTCACTCACCCATGCAAAGAGGTAGGCGGGTGTTCTGCTTGGGTGGAAGGGGATGTGCCCTGTGATGAGCTCTAGCAACACCACTCCGAATGCAAACACGTCCACCGCTTGTGTGATCTTGCCTGTCCGCACATACTCCGGTGCTACATAGCTGCAAGCAAGCAAGAGGGCAAGAGAGGAGAGTGAAAGAGGCATGGCGGGATGGTAGACGTGGGGCTTCCCTGTGGTCTGGTCACTCTCTGGTAATCATATGATGTTGATGATGATGATGATAATAACAATTACAATAATAATAATAATAATAGTAATGATAACAATAATAATAACAGCAACAATGACAATAATAATAACAATTACAACACTTGTAATAATAGTATAATAATAATAATAACACTAACAATAACAATAACAATAATTATTAATAATAAAACCACAACTGACCCTTGTGTGCCCATGATTGCCGTAACAGTCATTGGCTGTGTGAAATGCTCCGGTGCGACTTTCGCCAACCCAAAGTCCGATACCTGGTGATGCGGGGCAAAGAGGGGATGTTGGAGGAGGGGAGGTGGGAGAAATTGGGGCAGGAGAGGTGGGAAGGGGAGGGGGGGGGGAGGGAGGCAGGGGGGGAAGAAAAAAAGGGAGTTAGGGGAGGAGGGGTGGGAGGGGAAGAGGAGGGGGTACGGGAGGAACGGGAGGAGCAGGTTGGATGACAAAACACTTGGGACAGCTATCAGTAGCTGCTATACATAAATTTCTAACAGTAGCTTGACACCCACCACGGGTTCCAAGACTTCATCCAGAATAATATTTTCGAGGCGCCTCAAAAGGCTTCACATCCCGGTGAATGATAGGCGGGCGGACGGTGGGTTACAAGAGAAGCAGACGGGAGGGCAGGAGAGTGGGAAAAGGAGCAGGGTGGCAAGGGCCATAAAATAGATTTTAAAACAGAAGAGTGACGGGCCATACCATGGGCGCCAAGACTTCATCCAGCAAAATATTCCCCGACTTCACATCCCAGTGGATGATCGGCAGGCGGGCGGTGGGGAATAGGGCACAAAGGGAGAAAAAGCAAGGGGCAAGGCAAGGGAGAGCATACATAGCACGGGCGCCAAGTCTTCATCCAGTAAAATATTCCCCGACTTCACATCCCGGTGAACAATCGGCAGGCGGGCGGTGGGTTACAAGACAGCCAAAGGACGACACTTTCCCAAGTCTTCATCCAGCCAAAGGGTACAGGGCACACAAGGGACAAGGGAGAGCATACATACCACAGGCTCCAAGTCCTCATCCAGCAGAATATTCCCCGACTTCACATCCCAGTGGATGATCGGCAGGCGGGCGGTGGGGAATAGGGCACAAAGGGAGAAAAAGCAAGGGGCAAGGCAAGGGAGAGCATACATACCACAGGCTCCAAGTCCTCATCCAGCAGAATATTCCCCGACTTCACATCCCGGTGGATGATAGGCGGGCGGCACCCACTGTGCAGAAACGCCAAACCCCTCGCCGCCCCACTCGCAATCTCCAGCCGCTGCTGCCACGTCAGCGGCGGCTTGCGGTTATCCCGTAACCGCATGTCCAGAGCGCCATTCGGGAGGTAGTCAAAGACCATTAGGAGCTCGCCAGCTGTCACACACGCGCCGAGCATGCGCAGCAGGTTCGGGTGCCGAACCTTCCGAACCACCCGAAGCTCCGTGAGGAATTGTTTCGTGTTGACCGCGCACTTTTTTTCAGCCAGGGCAGGCCCCCACCACCTCAGCCGCTTCACCGCAACTTTTTGCTTGCTGCCCGCAAGAATTTCCTTCATTCTGCCACTCCCACCTTCCCCCCCTCCCCCAAAATCTGGAACCGCCATTGTAATCGTCCCCAGAAAGACCTGCCCAGATCCGCCCTCCCCCAGAACATTCTTGGGGTTGAAATTATCAGTGGCTTGCAAAATCTGTTCAAGTGTAAACTCTTGCTCCCCATACTCCTCTCTACCGTACACCTCCCGGAGTATTTCCGAAGGCGGGGGAGGAGGGAGGAGGTCGGAGGAGGGATTGAGAGGGTTGGGGGAGATGAGGACGGTGAGGTCTTGCTTCCATCCCCCATCTGCTGTTGCTGCCGGGATGGGGGAAGGGGATGGGGAGGGGGTAGGTGCTGGGTGTGCTGCTGATGCTGCTGCTTGTGGTTGTGCTGCTGCTGCTGCTGCTGGTGCTGCCGCTTCCCCTCCCCCTCTCCCCACCGCGCCACTCATCCCCTCCCCATCTACCTCCATCGTCTCCCCCCCTCCCCTCCCCTCTCCCTCCCCACTCCCCCCTCTCTCCCCGCTTCCCACCCCAAACTCAGACCCAAAACCAACAGCCTGGCACTCCCTAGGGTCGCCTCTTAAAGGGTCACCTCTTAAAGGAGATGCAGAACCGGGAGAGGGGGCATACGAGGCACTAGAAGCAGCAGAGACAGCCGAAGGTGTGTTTAGGGCGGAGAGTGGGGAGACAGGCGATGCAGAAGGGTGGAGAGGAGAGGAAGAGGGGTTGGGAGCGGTGGAGAGCTCTCCGGATTTGGAGAGGGAGCAGGCGCCGTGAGAGACGAGCATGACCTTGGTGGTGGTGGGGAGACGACGAGCCAGATGAGCCACTGTGTCCTGAGTAGCTGAGGAGATGGAGTAGCTGAGAGGGGCAGGGAAAGGGGAGGGCGGGAGGGAGGAAAGGAAGAGAGGGATGGGAAGAAGGGACGTGTTTTGAGGCGCCTCAAAAGGAAGAGAGGGATGGGAAGGAAGAGAGGGATGGGAAGAAGGGACGTGGGAGACGGGTATGACCTTGGTGGTGGTGGTGGGGAGACGACAGGTGAGTTCTGCGGCTGTGCCCTGAGTGGCTGAGGAGATGGACGAACTTGGGGGGGGGAAACGGGGGAATGGAGGGGTGCCGGGGAGGCGGGGAGGGGGGATGGGGAGGAAGGGGCAGAAACGATGTCGGAAAGTGGGAAAAGAGGAAGGAAAGAGGGGGGAGACAGGGTAAGAGAAGCTCAGACTGACTCCCTTTCTTGGCGGCACCCAGCATTACCACCATCCCTGCTCCCAGCGTCAATGCACCATGCATTTGACGCAAAATATATCTCTTGAGGCGGCCTAGAAGTAGTTCCCTCACCTCTTAAAGCCCAGGCTGCCTTTCTTGGCAGCACCCAGCACCACGATCCCTGCTCCCAGCGTCAACGCCCCCTGCAGCAGCCCCTGAGGCACGCGTATTCAAAACTTTTCCCTGCTTTTCTCTCACCTCTTAAAGCCCAGGCTGCCTTTTTTGGCAGCACCCAGCACCACGATCCCTGCTCCCAGCGTCAATGCCCCCTGCAGCAGCCCCTGGGGCACGTCCGCCGCCCAACACACGCACACCTCCACTCGGACCTGTGGTTGGGGAAAGACAGAGGGCGGGGGAGGTGGTGACCCAGGGGATGTGTCTGCAGCGCTGCTTCTAGCCCTCTCTTCCCCCATCGTCTACCACCCCACCCTACTCGCCCCCCCCTCCCCTCATTTCCCCCCCCCCCCTCTCCGCCAAACTTCTCCCCTTCTTCCCGCTCCTGTGCATTCGCCCCTTTCCCCCCTCACCTGTTTGGCGGAAGCTACTTCCGCCAGTGGCTGTAGCGCCGCCAGCACCACCATCCGCGCCTCAATATCCCCCTGCTCCCCCCCGCTCCCGCTCCCCCTTCTCCCCCTTCTCCCCGCCCGTTTGTATCACCAGAGCCACCACCCTGTCCCCCGGTACAACCAGCCTCGATAAAGCGAAATCCACCAGCGCCAGTCCATCCTTCGATACAGTCACACCCGCGCTGCCCCCTCCGCCTCCCCCGGCGTCTCTCTCGCTTCCGCCGCGCACTCCCCCCCAAAAGGAGCCTCCTGATTGGTGCAGAGTCACGCCGACCAGAACCAGTTTCGGCCCGCTGTGACGCGCGGAGCCGGCGTTAGACGCGGCGGGAATCGCGGCGGGAGTATTGGCGGGAGATGCGGCGAAAGGGGAAGCTAAAGGGGAGTCGCCGAGAGGGGAGCGGAAGCGGGGGGAGATTGGCGGGGAGCGAGTCAACATATCGGCAATTTGAAGGTAGAGGTTTAAAAAAAGGTGTTATTGGAATTTAACGGTAATAGAGAAATAAAAAAAGTAAAATCGAAGGTATCAGGGAAATTCAGCGACCCGGCCCGCGGACAAGTTGTGAAGTCCTTTCCACCTAAGAGCCACCCGCGTCGCCGCGAGTGAACGAGTGGACCGGGTTTCTCGATTACCAGGTTTGAACAGATGGTATCTATGGTGGTCGCGAGAGATCGACGCTCAAATCGACTTAGGTCCACTGAAGGCCCTCTGGATGTCACGGCGTCTGCTTCATTGCGTGAAATGCGGAGAAGATACTCGTTACAAGCACGTCTCGAAATCGACGAGAGAAAAGCGGCATTAGCGAAGAGGAACGCGGTAAATGCAGCTAATTTGGGTGACGAAACTAAGGATCGTGCGCAAAAGCCGCTGTCCTGCGGACAAGGGGTCGCGCTTGCAGCGGGATAAGCTAAGCCGCACTTGCCGCTGCACTTGAGGGACTACTGAAGCGGCAGTCTTAACTCGACTTAACACGAGCAGCTAACTCCGAGGAGCAAATTAACCTCGAAGCCACAGCCTCTAGCATCTTATGGCTTTTGCTTCAAGAAACATGGCGAACGTTCACTTTTTTTGAAAAAAGGAGGCGCTGGAGTGTAGAAACCTGTGCTGCTCCGCTCGCTATCGTAGGGTTGCTGCGTAAACACTCCGGTACGATTCAGCTCAGTAAGGTACGGTACTACGGTGCAAAACAGTATGGATGTCTACATTCAGTCGCAAATGTCGGGGGTGCCGGGAAGGTGAAGGCAGCAGGAAACGGATGCTGCCAGTGCTACCCACCCACGCGGACCGCGGGCAGGTGAAAGAAACGAAAAATAGAATTGGAGGTGGTTCAACCTACGGTGCTCATATCATCAGGCCGTTGGCGTGAACATGCGGGTATCGAAGTCTCTAAATTCAGTCATAAAGGCAGGCGAGATAAGTAATTGGGGTGGCGGGAGTGTGGGTGGGGAAGGGCTCGCAAGTGGGTGCTGAAACGTTGCTGGCAGGGAAGTAGCAGCCTTAGTAGGCTAGGAAAACGAGGATAGAGTGCTCTCTGGAGTTATCTGGAAATTGCACTATGACTTCACAAATTTCACAGTACAATTTTATAGAGCACATTCAAATATCGAGTCGCACTCCCAAGTCGCGACTCTCTCTGAATTTCTCAATGGTAACCCAACCCCTTTGAAATGAACCTGCCGTGAAATTCAGAGAATTATTGCGGTACGGGATTGGACGGCGAGCTTGGTTACGGGGCTGTAATTTCGTCGGTGTTGTTGGCGAAATCGGCGAGCGGTCGGAACTTCGGTGTTCTGCGTTTCGTAATTTTCGCGCGAGGGTTTGTGTTGGGCTGCGCGTCAGGACCTGGTCGCCCAGCTGCAGGTTGAGGCGTTTGACCAATACGAACAGTTGGTGAGGTGGCGCTTGACTTCCGCCCACCTGCACTGTACTTGGCAGCATTCGGTTGCCACACTGTTACATTACTTCCCCCTCCAAGTGGCGCCGTCCACGGCGCCAAACCGTGGCTGGTCAAATACCGATTCACAGCAGTTGCGGCACGGTCAAGGTGGCCCTCTGGTTCCCATGAGTCGTCACTAGTGGGCTGGTCCTTCCAATGAACAAGAAACTCGCGACCATGAGGTGTGTCGCGATGTGCAGCGATAGATGCAACTGCCTTCGAACATCGGTGGCAGTTGGCGTGTGGCTGGACGGTCGTGTGAAGGTGCACGGAAAGGGCGGAGGCGCTGGACATGGAAGACGGGGTGAATCTTCATATAGCTGGGCAGTTGGAGACGGTAGGTGACTGGTGAGAGGACTCGGGTGATGGTGAACGGGCCAATAAAGCGAGGGGCGAGTTTTCTGGTTGTGCCTTTGCGTAGGAGAGGGAGGTGGTCAGTGGAGAGTAACACTTGATCGCCAACCTTGAAGCGTATATATTTGCGGTGGGAGTTGGCATAGTGGGTCTGTTTGGCTTGAGCTTTAAGGATGGAGGTGCGAGCGGCATCAATGGCTGATTCGAGTGAGGTGAGGAACTCAAAGGCTGCTGGTGCGTGGGAGAGGTAGGGGGGTGGGGTCATGGGGTGGTGGGGGTGCTGTCCGGTTGCGAGGTAGAAGGGTGGCTGGCCGGTAGAAAGGTGGGGTGTGCTGTTGTATGCGAGTTCGATGGCGGTGAGGTGGAGATCCCAATCAGTTTGGCGAGCAGTAACTTGTGCACGGAGGGAGTCTTCAAGCGTGCGGTTCATCCGCTCGGTTTGTCCGTCCGTTTCAGGGTGATACGCGGTAGAAAACTTCAGCCGGGTTCCGTGAAGCTTGAAGAGGCTTTGCCAAAAGTTACTCAAGAAGCGGGGGTCACGATCTGAAATGATGGCGGATGGGAGACCATGGAGGCGGACTATGTGATCGAAGAAGAGTCGGGCTGTTTCGGGTGGGGTGACGGTTGTGTGGGTAGGAATGAAGTGGCTCATTTTGGAGAGTCGGTCGACGATGACTAGGATAGCGTTGTAGCTGCGGGGTGTGCGAGGCAGATCCATGATGAAGTCCATAGTGACTTCATCCCACACTTTGGTAGGTGGAGGGATGGGCTGAAGGAGTCCGTAGCGGTTGGTGGTGCGTGCTTTGAGTTGTTAGCAGGTGCGGCAGGTGCGTATGAAGTCACGCACATCAGCATGCATGCGTGGCCAATGGTAGTCGTTGGAGAGGCGTGCGTAGGTCTTCTCAACACCAAAGTGGCTGCCGGTAACGGTGTCGTGGTATTCGGAGAGTAGCAGCTGTCATAAGGAGCGATCTGCAGGGACACAAATGGTCTTGGTGACGGTGTTGTACCAAAATGGGTCTTCAAATGAGTAGGTCGGGTCCTCGGGGGCTTGCTTGACAAAAAGCAGGTCACGTTTGTAGGCGCGCTGAAATTTCGTGATGAAGGTATCATCCCAAGTGATGCTGCTGATTCCATGGAGTTGCAAGGATGGGTTCGGAGTGTGAGGTGGAGGTGATGAGGTGGGGCTGGTTGGGGAGTGGTGGGGCTGGTTGGTGGTTGGTTTGGGCTGGTCGGTGGGTGGTGGGGCTGGTGGTGGTGGTCGGGACAAGATGTCGGCTGGGTTGAGTTTTCCGGGGCGGTAGATTATCTGAAGTGAGGGTACAAACTGCTCCAAAAACTCAGCCCATCGGGCTTGGCGGCGGCTGAGCACAGGCTGCGTTTTCAAGTGTTGAAGAGGGCGGTGGTCGGTGTAGACGGTGACGGGCTGCTACTCCACGTAACAGCGCCATGTCTTGATTGCGTGGACAATGGCAAGGAGCTCCCGATCGTGTGTTGCGTAGTTGCGCTCTGCCGGTTGAAGCTTGCGTGACTCGAAAGCAAGTGGCTGCATCCCATGGCCGTGGTCTTGACAAAGAATGGCATCGACAGCGACATCGGAAGCATCGGTCCATATGAAGTATGGGCGTGAAGGGTCGGCGACGGTGAGGACCGGTGCAGAGGTGAGTGCTGATTTGATTGAGTTGAAAGCAGTCTGCTGCGGTAGTCCCCATTGAAAGGCAGCTCCTTGACGGAAGAGATCGGTCAAAGGGGCGCAGATGTGAGAGAAGTTGAAAATGAATTTCCGGTAATACTTGGCGAGGCCGATGAAACTTTGCAGCTCCGCTACCATGCGTGGGGCTGGCCAATCAGCAAGGCACTGGACCTTTGCGGGGTCCATAGCAATGCCTTTGGAGCTGATGACATGGCCGAGAAAGCCGATGCTTGAACGGGCGAAGGTGCACTTAGAGAGCTTGGCGTAGAGGCGGTGTTGGCGAAGCTTGTCGATGACGATGCGTAGGTGCTGAGCGTGTTCCTCGAGTGAATTGCTGAAAATGAGGATGTCATCGAGGAACACGATGACAAAGCGGTCAAGGAAGGGCCGAAAAATGTCGTTCATGAGTCCCATGAACGTGGCTGGTGCGTTGGTGAGGCCAAACGGAAGTACGCGGAACTCGAAGTGGCCGTAGTGGGTTCGAAACGCCGTCTTGTTGATGTCGTCTTCGGCGAGCCGGATCTGGTGGTAACCAGAGCGTAGGTCGAGCTTGCTGAAAACTGTTGCTTCCCCAAGCATGTCGAACAACTCCTCGACACGGGGCAGCGGGTACTTACTCTTGATTGTGATGGCGTTGAGGGCGCGGTAGTCGATGCAAAGGCGCAAGTCACCTTCCTTCTTGCGGGTGAAAAGCATGGGGGCAGTGTATGGTGAGGTGCTTGGGCGGATGAAACCCTTCTTGAGAAGGTCATCGAGTTGACGGCGGAGCTCCAAAAGTTCAGCGGTGCTCATGCGATAGGTTGGGCACACGGGCGGTGTAGAACCTGGAATGAGGCGGATGCTATGGTCAATAGCATGCTCGGGTGGAAGTTCAGCGGGAAGATCTTCGGGGAAGACGTCGGTGTAGCCTTGGAGTAACTTCTGTATAGGTGATGGGAGAGAGTTGGGTGATGGTTCAAATTCGGGAGCGGTGAAGATGACTAGAAGATGATAAGGAGGAGGTGGTGATGGAGGGGTGGGGGCTAATGGATTGATAACTTCAGAGGCGGGGCGGATGATGGGACGTCGTGGCTGCTGTGTTGGGTGGGGTGGAGAAGGAGGAGGTGTGTTGATCACTTCGGGGGAGCCGGGTGGTGTTGGCTGCTGCACGGGAGCTATGCGAGGAGGAGGGAGAGGGGGGGTATGGGAAGATGGAGATAGGACAAGTTGGGGTGGATGGGTTGATGAAGCGGAACTGATTGGGGATGACCATGGTCGGCGAAAGGAGTGGGATGGGAGGTCGTAGTTGCCGACGGTGACAGTTCCGTTGCGCCAATAAATCCGCGGTCCAAACTGGTGCAACCATGGTCGACCGATAACGCCTTCGTACCCGCCGAGGTGCAGTTGCTCGAACGTGACCGTCGCCTCCAAGCTTCCAAACATGCAATGCACAGGGAGGAGAGTAGGTCCGCAGCGCCGCCGAGTACCATCTGCCATGATCACGTCCTGCGGGTTGCTGTTGGGATCTTCGGGGAGAGAAAGTTCAGCAGCAATTGAGGGAGAGAGGAAATTTGCTGAAGCGCCGGTATCGAGCAAAAAATCAACGTAGCGATTCTTTATTTTTGCGTATAGAATGATGGCAGGGAATGGAGCGTTGGATGTGGTGTAGAGTTCAGAGGTGCCGATGAATAATGGAGTCGGGAGAAGCGGGGCATGCGATGCGCCAGAGGTCTACCCCACTGCTACCGGCGCTGTCCGTTTCCCGGAGACCTTTCAAAGTTGCGGTGGTTCGGGCAATGTCGCTTGATGTGGCCGAATTTCCCGCACGAGTAGCACGTAAGCGTGGACTGGTTGCGTGCACGCTGTTCCACCACACCGAGCTCCATGGGAGAAGGACCGTTGGTGCGGTAGGTAGGTCCAGCAGTGGTGTGCTGCCCGGTTCGTCCTTGGAATCGCTGGTATGCTGTAAAGTTGATGGTGTCAAAACGCTCGGCGACACGAATCATCTCATCCAACGTCGTAGCGCCGCGGAGTTCGACCTCGGTGCGGATTTTCGGCTTCAGCCCACGCTTGAATTTGTCCATCAGTTCAGCAGCAGGGATGTCAGGGATCTCAAGCACGAGCTCGCGGAGGCGGTTGATGTACTCAGCGACCGAGCGATGTTGGCGTAATTCAGCGAGGTTGTCACGTGCGTGCTCGATGAAGTTGATCGGCTCGAAGTTCATTAATAGCGATGCAGAAAACTCTTCCCAAGTTGAAATCGTAGCATGACAACTCTGCCACCAAGTAGCAGTTGCACCCCTCAGCGTCATGCCGGCGTGCGGAGCCCACTCCGCCCGGTTGACATGACAAAGGGAGAGGTATTCCTCCACTTGGAAAAGCCACCATCGCATCGGTAAGTGACGTTTTCAAGGGATGAACGGCTCAGGTTCGGGTGCTTTGGGTCGTGCAGAAACCACAGCAGGTGCTGGCGTCGGCACCTGTGTGCCCAGGAGTCCACGTTCCTGGAGTTCGCCGAGGATCCGGTCACGCGCCTCGCGTTCAATTTCTCGGCGCATATTCGCCACAAATTCGTTCCAGAGTTCCGGCGCCATATCAGACGGTCCGGCCATAGGGTCTAGAATATGGCGGGAGCGTGCGAAATAACTAACCAGGCTCTGATACCAGTGAAACATTGCTGGCAGGGAAGTAGCAGCCTTAGTAGGCTAGGAAAACGAGGATAGAGTGCTCTTTGGAGTTCTTTGGAAATTGCACTATGACTTCACAAATTTCACAGTACAATTTTATAGAGCACATTCAAATATCGAGTCGCACTCCCAAGTCGCGACTCTCTCTGAATTTCTCAATGGTAACCCAACCCCTTTGAAATGAACCTGCCGTGATATTCAGAGAATTATTGCGGTACAAGTTTGGACGGCGAGCTTGGTTACGGGGCTGTAATTTCGTCGGTGTTGTTGGCGAAGTCGGCGAGCGGTCGGAACTTCGGTGTTCTGCGTTTCGTAATTTTCGCGCGAGGGTTTGTGTTGGGCTGCGCGTCAGGACCTGGTCGCTCAGCTGCAGGTTGAGGCGTTTGACCAATACGAACAGTTGGTGAGGTGGCGCTTGACTTCCGCCCACCTGTATTGTACTTGGCAGCATTCGGCTGCCACACTGTTACAGGTGCTACGGGGCGGCATGCGCTGCGATTGGATGAACTCCAGTTGGCCAAGTTCACTCATGTCGCATCGAACACTCTAGAACGTGCAACCTATATCGCGGATGGGAATTTGGTGCTCCTCCCATTACCATGTGAGGAAATCGAAGTTTCGCGAAACAAAAAACCGATAGTGTACAGTTATTAGTCAATAACGCAATAGCTTTTGACGAATCACGAATCAGATGCATCTTGGACGCGAGTGCCCCTGTGATCATCCGAGTCCCAGACCATACCTAGGTACGAATGATGGTCATTTTTTTCTGAAGTGATCACTTTTCGCGGATCAATTTCATTTCTTACTGCTTCCCTCGTCACTCCGTGCCAATTCCGCCGTTCGTTCCCACTCGTTTTCGCAGTCGCACGAGTTTTATAGCACTCGCTCGTCTGCGTCTTTGAGAATGAGCCGATTGTGACGTGAGCAGAAGGTGATCAATTCGTCGAATATCAGCTCAGGTTTCGTTCCATTCACTTGTATCAGCTATTAGGATTCGAACCCGCGAGCACCATGTCGTTCCTACCCATCTTCGACTACGGGGTGATACCTGCAACCACCAGCTTTAAGAGTGATGGTAACCCTAGCGGCAGTGACGTGAGTAACACGGCAGCAATTTCCTCTGCGTCTGCTGGCAGTAGTAAGCCACCCTCTGGGGCGAACCCTGGGGGGAAGGGCGCAACCGCGGGCGGGGAAGGCGGAACCGCGGGCGCGGGCGGCGCAAAAGCGGATGGCGCGGAGGCGCCGAAGAAAAAAGCGACAAAATTGGGGAGCAGCGGAGCAGGCGGAAAGAAAGCCGCGGGTAAAGCAGCGGCGAAAGGGAAGGGGAAGGCGGGGACGGGGAAAGGGGCGGGGAAAGCGGCAGGAACTGGCTCCTCGTCTTCCGCAGCCGGCGCGGCTGCTGCGGCGCGGGAGAAGGAGGAGCGCATGAAAGCGGCGAAGGCGGAGGTTGAGGCGCACGCCACCGCGCTGGAGGCGCATCGATCCGCCGTCTTCAAACTGCAGGCGCTGCTGATCCGCGACGTTTACTCTAGCGGGACTGATCCTTTCGATCTTGGCGCCAGCAGCAATGGTGGCAGTGGCAGCGGCGGCAGTAGCAGCAGCAGCAGCAGCAGTAGGGTCACTCAGGATACAGGCAAACATGATACTGTCACATCACCTACAGTCACACCATCGTTCGACGTGCGAGCCAGCCAGTTAGCAGCGGCGTGCAGATTGCTCAGCCGAAGCGAGTACGATGCTATAGTGGAGGAGCGTGCTATAGGGGGGTTTTGTGGTAACCCGCTTTGCAACCAAGTGTTACAAGCTCGGTACGGGGAAGGGAAAGGGAGGTTCAAATTAGTCAGGGCTGAGGGAAAAGTTTTAAAGAAAGCGGAGATTTCGAGGTTTTGCAGTGCTGTGTGTATGCGCACCAGTGGTAGTGTAGCTCTGTCGCTGCCTGAGCATAGAGAGTTGCTCTATAAAGAGGATTTGCAAGGGGTGTTGGATGCAGCAGGGGTGGGGAGGGGTGTGGAGGTGCGCGAGTGGGTGGGGGATGAGGGTATGAGAGAGAGGAAGGAGGAGGAGAAAGAGAAAGGAAGAAGTCGTGGCATCAGCGCTAGTAGCACGAGTGCCAACACAACGAGTAACAACACTGGCAGCAGCGGCGGCAGCGGCAGCTGCGGCGGCGGCAGCAGCTGCGGAAACGAGAAGGTTACTGAAGTTGCTGGGGCAGACGAGGTTCATGTCTCTGCGAGCACGAGCAGCAGCAGCAGCGGGAGCACCAGCACGACCACCAGCAGCAGCAGCAGCAGTAGTGCTAGCAACGCTGTATCTCCGCCTCTACTGCTGAAGGAGAACATTCCAGGGGCTGCTGTCGCTGGGGTTACTAGCTCAGAGGGTGCTGGCACAGGGGTTACTGGCACAGGGGTTACTGGCACAGGGGTTACTGGCACAGGGGTTACTGGCACAGGGGTTACTGGCACAGGGGTTACTGGCACAGGGGTTACTGGCACAGGGGTTACTGGCACAGGGGTTACTGGCACAGGGGTTACTGGCACAGGGGTTACTGGCACAGGGGTTACTGGCACAGGGGTTACTGGCACAGGGGCAGATGCGGCAGCAACAGACGTACTGTCTTCGTCTGGAGGCTTTGAGTCTGCAGTGCATAATGCGATTGAAGGGTACATTCCTCGGCATGGTACTGAGGCGGTCAATAAAGGGTTCTTCTCTCAGCATGGCACAGCGCGGAGCATGCTAGTAGAGGGAGAGGGAGGGAAAGAAAGAGGAGTGAGAAGGGAAGAGAGAGTGGGAGAGGGAGAGGGAGAGAGTGTAGGAGAGAGAGGAGGGGAGAGAGGAAGAGAGAAAGGGGGAGAGAGAGGGAGAGGAGATAACATTGCTCAGAGCATAATGTCTCAAGTGGTTGCTGCGTCAGGGACGTGTGATGAGGTGTTTGCACCGAGTGTGGGGATGGAGGGGTGGGTTGGGGGCGAGCAGAATGAGAACGTTAGGGGCGGCATGGGGGTGGGAGTGGGTGACAGGGTTGGTGGGACGTTAGACGTAGCAGCAGTAGAAGCAGGAGGAACAGGAGGAGCAGGGGACGGGGCAGGGGCGAATGGAACAGCAGCAGCAGCGACAGCAACAGGGAAAGAAGCAGTTGAGGGGCGAACAGCAGAGCTGCGACCAGCTTTAAAGAAAGCAGTGTCTGGGGAGAAGGGCGGGCGGGAAGTAGGTGCGCAGAGGGAGGAGGGGAGGCATGTAACCTGGGCGGCAGATGACAGGCTGGCAGTGGCACAGGATGAGAAGGGTGGCAGTGGCAGCGGGGGGAGGGGTAGAGGTGAGGTGGAGTTAGAAGGGGGGAGCGCAGGACGGGAGGAGAGGTGGGGAGAGGGGACTGCAGCAGGGGAGAGAGGTGGGAAGGAGCGGGGAGGTGGGAGGGGGAAGAAGCAGGGAGCAGTGAGGGAGGGGGCAGTGAGGGAGGGGAGCAGTGGGGTGGTTGGCAGGGGTGCAGAAGGCATGGGGGAAAGAGAAGGGTGGGGCGTGGAGGGAGGGGCAGAGGCAGCAGCAGCGGGTCGCTGTGGATGGTTTGAGCCTCCTCCCCCGGGCTTCAAGATGCAGGTGAGGGGATTTCATTGCATGAGAAGGTTACCTGGTTACCACACGTGCAGCAGCAGGTCGCTGTGGATGGTTTGAGCCTCCTCCCCCAGGCTTCAAGATGCAGGTGAGGGGATTTCGTTGCATGAGAAGGTTACCTGGTTACCACACGTGCAGCAGCTGGTCGCTGTGGATGGTTTGAGGCTCTTTGTCCGGGCTTGATTATGCAGGTGAGGGTTTAGGGTTGGGTTATGGTTTCGGTTTGACGGTATTCAAATGACTGGGTGTTACCTGGTTACCACACGTGCAGCAGCAGGTCACTGTGGATGGTTTGAGCCTCCTCCCCCAGGCTTCAAGATGCAGGTGAGGGTTCGGGGGGTTTGGGGTGAGGGTTTATTGGAGTTACCTGGTTACCACAAGAGCAGCAGCAGCCTGCAGGTCACTGTGGATGGTTTGAGGCCCCTCCTCCAGGCTTCAAGATGCAGGTGAGGGTTCAAGCTCAAGGATTCGGGTTTACAGTTTGGGAATGAGCGGGAGTCAGGTAGTTACCTGGTTACCACACAGGCAGCAGCAGCGGGGTGGATGCAAATGGTTTGAGGCTCCTCCCCCAGGATTCATAATGCAGGTGAGGGTTTAGAGCTTAAAGATCATTTCCCAGTAAGTTAAAGATGACGCTTCGAAAGCCTCCTTGCTTGCTCCGCCCTTCTTGTTTGTGTCTCTTGCTTGCTCCGCCCTTCTTCTTTGTGTCTCTTGCTTGCTCCGCCCTTCTTGTTTGTGTCTCTTGCTTGCTCCGCCCTTCTTGTTTGTGTCTCTTGCTTGCTCCGCCCTTCTTGTTTGTGTCTCTTGCTTGCTCCGCCCTTCTTCTTTGTGTCTCTTGCTTGCTCCGCCCTTCTTGTTTGTGTCTCTTGCTTGCTCCGCCCTTCTTGTTTGTGTCTCTTGCCCTTTCCTGCCTACCAATCGCCTTCCCCTCAGTGCCTGCCTGCCGCCCTGCACTCTCCTCCCATACGTTCTCATTCGCTGTCTGCCTGTCTGTCTGCTTCCCTGCCCCCCTCGCCAGCTCCCCTTTCACTGCACTCTCCTCATGGCTCTTCAGGAGTGGGTCACTGCCGACTCGCTTCGCCTCGTCTACCCACCACCACCACCACCACCACCATCACAGCAACCACAGACACCAGCACAAGAACCACAATCGCCCCAGCCACCACAGCAACCATCTCAACCACCATGTGTGATATCGAGCGTGGAAGCGAACGGGTGGGAGTACCCTGCTCTCCTGGGGTCCGTGCCTGATGCTGCCAGAGCAGCTGAGATCCGAAGGACTTTGGGAGAAGGCCTGGGCCGGGAGACGGCAGGTGTGGTGGAAGGCTTGGGACTGCTGCTGCCACTGTCGACTGTGGAACACACACTGGTGAGCTTGCTATGTGAAACTTTCTCTAGGTCTAGGGATGCACTTTTGAGTCCAGTCCTCAACCTAGTAAGCGAACGGGTGGGAGTTCCCTGCTCTCCTGGGGTCCGTGCCTGAGGCTGCCAGAGCAGCTGAGATCCGAAGGACTTTGCGAGAAGGCCTGGGCCGGGAGACGGCAGGTGTGGTGGAAGGCTTGGGTCTGCTGCTAGCACTGTTGACCATGGAACACACACTGGTGAGTTTGCTATGATTTGAAGGACTCTTGGGGATGGTCTGGGGAGGGAGACGGCAGGGGTGGTGGAAAGCTTGGGGCTGCTGCTGCCACTGTCGACTGTGGAACTAGCACTAGTGAGCTTGCTATGGGGATGTACGTTTGAGTCCACATCAAACGTATTTTTGAGTCGACTTAACGATAGACTGCCGCTGCCGCTGTCAACTGTTGAACACGCACTGGTGAGCTTGCTGTGGGGAGGTACTTCTGAGTTCACTTCAAACGTGTTTTTGAGTGACTGCTGCTGCCGCTGTTGACTGTTGAACACGCACTGGTGAGCTTGCTGTGGGGATGTACGTTTGAGTCCACTTGAGCTGCTGTTTGAGTCCACCTCGATGCTTTCTTTGGTGATCTTTCTCTACTTGCCACCTTTGCCTTCCGCTTGCCCCTCCCCTCCCTGCATCGTCCCCACTCGTAACTGCTGCCGCCGCCGCCGCTTTTGCTGCTGCTGCTGCTGCTGCTGTCGTTGCAATCACCCACCTCTCCCTTCTTTTTCAATTCTTGTGTTTTTCCCCTCCCTTCTCACTTCTCCCCCCTCTCCCTCCAATGCAGACTCGTCTGCTTGCGACCTTTGCCTTCCGCTCGCCCCTCGCCTCTCTCCGCCGCCCCCACTGGCAACTGCTGCTGTTGCTGCTGCTCGAGGCCCTGTCGGTCAACTGCCTGCCCCCTGCTGCTGGTAGTGCACTCAACACACACAGGCATCAAGTATACAAGGTAAGACCACCATATGAGCGAGACAGCAACTGCTGCTGTTGCTGCTGCTCGAGGCCCTGTCCGTCAACTGCCTGCCTCGTGCTGCTTCCAGTGCACTCAACACCCACCGGCATCAAGTATTCAAGGTACGTGCTTGTAGCTTCTGCAGATTCTTCTTCCGCTGCAGCTGCCGGTGCTGCTGGTGCTGCTGGTGCTGCTGGCGTTGCTGTTGCTGCAGCTGGTGCCACTGACTCAGCGTTTTTGTGTGCATGCATCGTGCATGCCTGTATTCACTTGTATGTGCGTGCATCGTGCATTCCTGTATTCACTTGTGTGTGCGTGCATGTGTGTGCGTGCATGTGTGTGCGTGCATGTGTGTGCGTGCATGTGTGTGCGTGCATGTGTGTGCATGCAGGTGGCAGCAGCAGCAGGTGTGGACAGGGACAACTACCTCTTGCTCAGGCAGATGCTGCTTCCCAGGGGGCCTTCGGTTAGCAACCCGAACCAGAACACAAACGCTGCTGCTTAGAGGAAAGGTTATTGTTACCAGAAGCAGCAGCGTCAGCAGGTGTGGACAGGGACAACTGCCTCTTGCTCCGGCAGATCCGGGGGCCTTCGGTTAGCAACCCGAACCAAAACACAAATGCTGCTGCTTATAAGGGAGCATTATTATGGTTCGCAGCAGGAGCATCAGCAGCAGAAGCAGCAGCAGGCGTGGACAGGGACAACTACCTGTTGCTAAGGAGATGCTGCTTCCCAGAGGCTCACCTGCCTGCAGCCCGAACCCATACACAAACGCTGCAGCGTAGAGTCAAAGAAGCACTAGTCTCGGGCTGTGAATGGTGCACTGACACAGCAGCACCAGAGCAGCAGCAGCAACAGCAGGTCAAGACAGGGACAACTACTTCTTTCTTAGGCAGATGCTGCTTCCATGGGACCCTCCTGGCCATGATTCAAGTCAACACACAAATGCTGTTGCACACAACACAAGGATGTTCTATTGGAAGAATCACTCATGGATTGCACAAGCGCTGGTAGTCGATAGTGTGAGGCAGGTTCAGTGACTTCGGTACCAATCAGTCGAGTTTATTTGTGCAATTGGATTGAAAAGGAAACGTTAGCACCCTGAACCTGCACAGAAACATGTGTGAGTGAACTGCCAATCAAGGTATCATGTAATACCTTCTGGTGAAGGCGTTCAGTCACATCACATGAACTCCCCTCCAAGTTGACTTTTGAGTCGACTCAAAGGTACCTTCTGGTGGAGGCGTTCAGTCACATCACATGAACTCCCCTCCAAGTTGACTTTTGAGTCGACTCAAAGGTACCTTCTGGTGGAAGCGTTCAGTCACATCACATGAACTCCCCTCCAAGTTGACTTTTGAGTCGACTCAAAAGTACCTTCTGGTGGAGGCGTTCTGTCACATCACATGAAGTCCCCTCCAAGTGTGAAGGAGTAATGCTCTATAACACGCCCCTGTACTACCCCGCCTTCCTTCTCCCTCCCCCATCCCTTCTCCCCATCACCACTACCAATCACAGCAACCCCAGCCATGCCACCATCCGCCTTGATGGCGCTGAGCTGGCGTGAGTCAGCGCCAGCACCAGATGGGACAAACTCCACAAGGCCTATTTCACATAGGTGCCCGGAAAGAGGCAACTTCTGGGATCGAACGGTGTGGAAACTGCTGGGAAGTTTTTCTTCGGGCAGCTCTTGGGCGATCGGGCAGACGGGCAGCCAGGATCCGGGCAGGTAGTTGGGGTCGCAAGGAATGGCTAGTCTTTTCAGGAGCTCCTGAGGGGTGCACAGAGGTGCAGAGAAGTGCAGAGTGGTGATGGGCAAGAGGAGTTAAAGTGGGACAGACTTGAGTCAACTTAAATCGCACCTGAATGTGCGTCGTTTCACACATGGATCAACGCACACAATGCACAAGCAGCAGACTAAAACGCACACAGTTGCTTGTGCAGTGTAAGAAGGGCAATCGAAGAGAGAGACACACAACACACACAAAGGGCACAGGCACACTCACCTGCAGTTGCTCGTGTAGTGTGAGCAGAGCAATAGAAGGAACTGGTGCCAGAAACAGCGCACCGGTGGCTACCGGTGCTGCTTTGGAGCCCTCAGCAGCAGTTGCAGCAGCAGCAACAGTGCCCCTGTTGCTTGTGCGAGTGGGATCGACTGATTGGCTGCTGCTGCTGCTGCTGATGCTGCTACTGCTGCTCGTGGTTGTGGCGGAAGCAGCTGCATTGTTTCCCCCAGGGTGAGAGTTTGGGCTCGAAACACCCGTAGCCCCACCAGCTGCAGCAGCAGCAGCAGCAGCAGCAGCAGCAGCAGCAGCAGCAGCAGCTCCAACACCAACACCAACACCAGTACCAGCAGCACCACTGGATGCACGTGCACCTGGACTGCTGGTGCTGCTGATATTCCCACCATCTGTACTCGTTACAGAGTTATTCCCTGTCGAAGCATGGCTGGTGCTGTTGACCGCCGTGGGAGAGAACGCGGGTCGCGACACGGAAGCTGCTGGGAAGCTCCCGACCGCAGCCAGAGCGACTGGAATCGGGTGCTGCTGCTGCGCGAAATTCTCTATGGCTGTGCGAAGCTTGGAAGGTTCCAGGTCAGACGGGGTGTGAAGAGAGAGGCTGGAGTGGACAGGGGAGGAGCGAAGGAAGAGAAACAAGAGACAAGGAGAATGGGAGAAAGAAACGGACGGTGCGGAGAGTTTAGGGCTCCCGATCGGATCAAATGAAACCAAATTGCGTGGTGTGCAAAGCGAAACAGGAGAGAAAAGAAAAGGCGCGTGGGACAAGGCAAACTGGGACGCAGTTGGGGGGGGGGGTGAGTGGGGGCCCGGGGAGGAGGGGGGGGAGGGGTGGGTTGTGGGTGTGTGTGGAAGGATTGGAGAGTCTGTCCTAAGATCTGCCCGGGGGCCCCCTGGTTGATCAGATTCACTAGCGTTAACGGGTATGCTGCGTGCTGACCTGACATGCGGCCTGGCAGATGTCTCTATCAGGTAGCTCCCTAACCGTCGCCTCGCCAGAACATTCCAAATCTTCATGGACCAGGAGGAAAAATAGTGCGAACAGAGAGGCCCGCAAGTGCGGAGGGAATTCGGTGAGCGTAGCCGGTTGGGAGGAGAAAATAAAAAAAGAGATAAAAAGGGCGAAATCGCTTTTGAAATTTTCTCAATAGTGGTTTCAAAATAGAGAATAAGGGGGTTGGTGAAAGCTAGTTAAGTATCTGAAAGCTCCGCATGCTAGAAAATCGACTGCGCGACGAAAAGCGAGTACAGAGACTGGGTCCTTTCAAGTGCTTGGTCATTTCCAAAACCGTACCCTCCAGGACTGTAACAAAATGTATTTCCATTTTTTTTTTTTTACTTGGGAAAATCGACGAGTCTTAGAGCTTCTCGGAATCGCCGTACCCTGAGTATCTGGTTCTCCAGGGCCGTATCGAAATAGAGCTCCACGGCGAATCCTCTCGTCACGCTTCTGCCGAGCGGCGATGCCGGGTACGCGTCAGCAGCTACCGGCTGCCGGCCGAACCCCATTGCTGAACGCCAGATTCGGAAAAAACGAAATCTACGATGGTAACAGCAATGTAGCAACAATCCTTTAGTTCCAACCTAGGTTTGGGACTTTTAGTATGGAATCCGCGACCAAACGCAGTTACACCACATTAGCGACGACGCGAGTCGAGACCAGAATGCCTGTCGGAACTGCAAAGAGCCATTTGGGAAGGATTATTGGAGGGGAGACTTGTGTTGTGAATGGCACGCTCTTCACGTGCCACGCTACTGTGCCACTCCAACCCCTTCCCCTCAAAACACCCTCGACACATTTTCCTAAGAGCCCATCCAAACCACTCAACTCTTCCAAAGCCTATTCCAACCACTCAAGTTACAAACTCCTTTTTTTTTCAACTCATCCTCTCCAACTCAAGCCTATCAACCACCTCTTTAACTACTCCCAACCACCATAGACTTTCCTAGTCCAACTCAACCAATATTCAAACCAACTTCCCATACTTATCCTCAAGTCCCACCATAAGGCACATGACTCCTCATGATTTTCCATGTGCTTTCCTTTCCTACTCATCAAAGTTTACCCAAGTCATCTACCTCCTCCAATTATCCTCCTCTCATGTGCCTTCAAGCACATGCTTCCACTTCCTAGTCATCAACCTCCACATGCCTCTCATTTATTCCTTCCATCATTCCTTTCCCAAGTCACCAAAGTTGCCACCTCATCCCTAAGGACTTCATGATTATCCCATCACCTCCTATTACAAGGCAACAAAACTCATCATCTCCTCCACTCATCCTTATCCAACTCACTAAGCTCTCTTCCAACTCAACAAGGCTTACATCTCCAACTCATCAAGTGCTCAACCACCATCACATGCTCCAATACTATTCATCTACATCAAGCATCTCTACAACTTCTCAAGAAGGTTCTTCAATGACAACAATGCATTCCAAGCTTCTTCACCAAGCTCATTTCCAAGCTTCTCCTTCAAGCTCCTCTTCTACTACAAAGGCTCCTCACTAGCAACCAAGTTCTATGTCTCCAAAAGTTGATACTCTCATGCAACTCTCTTCCAAGGCTACCATTGATGGTTACTCTCTCTATGCATGCCTATGTATCCCTCATGGATCTATAAGGCTTGTACTATACCTCTTTCAATATAAGTTTATGCTCACAAAGTGTCTCTCATTAGTCTACAAAGTTAAGCATCAAGTGAAGAGTAATCACCTCATACTCTACTTGAGTATAAGGTTCATTACTTCCTACAAGCTTGAGGAAGGATCATCACCCAACACCAAGCTTGATGTTCTTCTTCAAGTAAAGCTCTCAAGACCAAGCCATTCCTACAAGTCACCTCTACAACTATCCCTAGTAAGATTCATTTAAGTAAGTGCCTATCCCCTCTCTTATTCTCTCAACAAGCTCATACTCTCTTTCTCCATTTTTGTGTTTTTATCTCATCAAGCATTCCACCTTACACAAGTTTCTCTTTATAGTCCCAAGTTCTAAGTATCATCTTCTCTTCTATCAAGCTCATCCTCATTTACTACAATTCCACTGTTTACTCTTGTCTTATTCTATTGTGCAATCATACTCTTTTATCCTTATCTCAATTCTCTACTGGTATCAGAGCATTTACTTCCTCGCTTTCGCTAAAAATCCCCTCAAGAAAGAACCTTCTCTCTTGTCATTCTCCATGACTCCCACCCCTAAGGGCTCAAAGCCAAAGAGTGCCACTTCGCAAGGAGAATCAAGCTCCTCCGAAGTAAGCGGCAACACAGGAGGAAAAGACACCTCATCATCTTCTACTCTCCCCTCTCCTATTTACACCCAAATGTGTACCCCCTCTTCTCTAACCCCCAAGCTAGAAGTGCCACGGTTCAATGGAAAGGACTTCCAAGCGTGGCGAATTCGTTTCCAATTGGCCTCCACTCTCCTAGAGTGGTGGCCCATTTACTCCGGTTCTCTCTCTCCTCCTTCCTCCGAAGCCCCTCCCACAGAGCAAACCGCGTGGATCAAGAAGAATGCCGAAGCCTACCTCTACCTCCTCAACTCCGTCCAAGATCAATATGCCAAGTCATTACTCACGTGCGCGAGTCATCCCGACAGTGCCAAGCGTGCATGGGAGAGGCTCACACGACTTCATCAACCTCGCACCGAGAGCACCAAGGCGGAAATGTGGGGCAAGATCTCCAACTTGCGGATGGAGCAAAAGGAGACGATTCCCGAGTACTTGGAGCGCGCGGAGATTCTACTCAACGACGCCGACGTCATCGAAGTCACCGTTCCCGAGGAGCTCTTCATCACGATTCTCCTCGCGGGGCTTTCATCGGAATGGATTCAAATGCGGAGCACAATACAAGCTTTTCCCGAGAAGCAAAAGACGCGCGACTTCATCTTCAACACCCTAATCAACGAGCATCAAACACGCGAGCTTGCTAAGTCAAAGGAGGAGAACAACAAACCGGCATGGTCGGCCGCCGTTTCTACTCAAGGTCACGGCAACACCACCAACAACAACAACTACTTCAACAACAACAAAGGTAAGAACCAACGACAAGCAAGTAAGTCCTCTAACCCATCTCTCCTTGGTCGCTATCCGTCAACAAGTTCCTCATCCAATCAACCCTTCTCATCGAATCCCTCTCAAACCGCTAAGCCCCAATCGGGGAAGTTCAATTTTACTTGTCATTTTTGTCACCAATGGGGGCATCCATGGTTTAAGTGCCCTCGTAAACCTCCCAATTGGACCCCTCCGCCTCATCTTCTTACCGCTAAGGGCCGAGCCGCCCTATCATATGCAGTGAGCTCTCAAAATGAGCCTCAACAATTCCCTTTAGCTCAACCTCAATCCTCCCAATACTACCCAAGTCAATCTTATACCTTTCCCTATTACCCCATGCAACCAATGCCTATATTTTACACTTCTCCACTACAAGGCTTTGCGCCTTCATTACCTCAAGCACCCCATCCCACTCCCTCCAACTCTACACCCACTACTTCTTCCCAAAGCACCCCACAGGGCATAAGTTTTGCCATGACTTCATCCGCGCCCACATCGACGTTCGATCCCGACTATTGGTACCTCGATAGTGGGTGCGACCAACACATGACTCCTAACTCCTCCCTCTTACATTCTCTCACCACCACAGGAGTAAAGTCCGTCACCGTCGCCAACAAGGAGTCAACTCCCACCGCGGGAGAAGGAATTCTCACCTTTCTCAACCCCACCGGCAAGCCGGTTTCCATCTCAGGTGTCCTCCTCGTTCCCAACCTTGGAGCCAACCTATTGTCGGTTGGACAACTCGAGGAGAAAGACTGCATCTTTTCCTTCGAAAGTGGTACCGTGCAGATACGCTACCAGGGACTCCTCATTGCACGTGGCGAGCGAGTTGGTCGCCTCTACCGCCTCAAGCTCGACGTGAACCCAGAGTATCGTCGACTCCATGGCTACACCGCTGCCGCATCAACTACTATAAAGCCTCACCCAGGTACGGCTACCACACCCTACATTTGGCATTGTCGCTTGGGTCATCCTGGAGCATCAACCTCCAAGTCCATCACCGCACATGCAAGTCTTGAAGGTCTTCGCATCACACCAAGCTCCGAGTCTCCCTCCTCACTTTCTCCATGCCCTTCATGCGTTGAAGCCAAGCACACACACCATCCTCATCCCCCTGTCAATGTTCAAGTCTCAAGTCCTCTTGACCTTGTTCATAGTGACATCATTGGTCCTGCTCGCACGCTCAGTCGCACGGGCAAGCGATTCATCATGACCCTCATCGATCATAAGACACGTTTTGCATGGGTCTTCCTTCTTGAGTCCAAAGACCTTGTTCCCGAAGCATTCAAAGTGTGGCACGAACACATCAAGAACACAACCGGCCTTCAAGTCAAGACTCTGCACTCGGACAGAGGGGGAGAATACATGAGTAAGTCATTTCGCAATCACCTCTCATCCATTGGCATTGCACAAGAGCTTTCATGCCCCTACACCCCTCAGCAGAACGGCATTGCCGAAAGGTTCAACCGCACCTTGCAGGAAATTGCAAGATCTCTTCTCTTGCACATGAAGCTGGACGATGCATGGTGGGGAGAAGCCGTGAACCATGCCGCCCACCTCAAGAATCGTCGCCCAACCATCGCTCTTCCTTCAGGTATCACCCCATTTGAAGCATGGCATGGGAAGAAGCCCGATGTTTCCATGTTGCGTGTGTTTGGGTGCATGGCACAATACCGCATTCCCGATGAAAAGAGAGGAAAGTTTGAGAGCAAGACACGTTGGGCCGTGCACATTGGCTTGAGCAAGGAGAGCAAGGGCTGGATTCTTTGGGACCCTCTCCTTACCAAGGAGATTGTGAGCAGGGACGTGATCTTCCATGAAGACATGTCCCTCGCTCGATGGAAGTTAAACTATCTACCTCCTTCTCCCTCTCTCGAAGACCCTCTCCCCACTCCACCAGGACTCACCACAACACCCGCAGTGGAGCCCTCTCCAAGTGCACCTGCTGGAGATACCACACCATCTCCACCTATACCTGAAAACAACACACCTTCTCATGAGCAGCAGCAGAGTCAACATGAGCCAAACCACACGTCACCGCCTCTCTTCACCGACGAGCCGTCTTCTCTCCAACCCTCGATGGAGCAGCCCTTAACGCGAAAGTCAACACCTGAGCAGCAGCCAGTCGCAGAGAAGCTGTCTTCAACCGTATCATCTACTTCTTCACCTCCAGTCAACACTTCAACCATTATCCCTGACGCAGCAGACAAGCCGCTTCAACCCGTTCAACCACCAAATGATGTTCCTGAGACAATCACTCTTTCAGCACCTCCAACCATCCCTAACGGTAACACGAGTCACGAAAGTATCACCGAGCATTCACAGCGTCCCAAACGAGCACGCAAGCCAGTGCAGCGCTTGAACCTCGCAGTCGGTGCATGCTTCCCAGTCACAACCAAGTGTGCCGATCCTCACTGCATGGACTGCAAGGTAGTCGCCATGTGTCACGCCATCAGTTGC